ATATTAAGCAAGATTTGAAAGAGCAAAGTCGTTTTTTATTTCGTTCAAGATTTAATTGTTGTATTTAAAGCCATCTAGTGTCGAGGTTTTACATTTTATGCATTTCGGTGAAATTGGGTTTTATAGTGCTCAACATAAGCTTTAAAATGAGTGCTGTTACAAGTTTTTTGCGTGTAAAATGAGTGAGCTATCATGCAAATAAGAAGGCATATACGAAGTTTTTTTCTTTTAAATCATATGGTTTAATGAGCGCCATTTCCACCAGAATGAAAGTAATTCACATTCCATCTAGAATTCACTTCATTATAGACATCTTGATGGATTCTAGTAAATTCACTACTTTAGTGCAAACTATTTTCAGAAAACTCACGATTTTATAAAAACTTTTTTTTTTCAATTTTTTTAAAAATCGAAATTATTTTCATTATATCTCAAAAAGAATAAAAGATACGTATAAAAGCTTATAGATAAAAATTAAAGGAATCTTTCTGGCTTATTATTGTTTTTTATTATTTTTCTTTCACACAAAAATTGACAGAGTTATGGATGTTTAAAGACTGCGCGACCGCGCAAATTGGAAAAAAAAGTTTTTATAAAATCGTGAGTTTTCTGAAAATAGTTTGTACTAAAGTAGTGAATCTACTAGATATCCATCAAGATGTCTATAATGAAGTGAATTCTAGATGGAATGTGAATTACTTTAATTCTGGTGGAAATGGCGCTCATTAAACCATATGATTTAAAAGAAAAAAACTTCGTATATGCCTTCTTATTTGCGTGATAGCTCACTCATTTTACACGCAAAAAACTTGTAACAGCACTCATTTTAAAGCTTATGTTGAGCACTATAAAACCCAATTTCACCGAAATGCATAAAATGTAAAACCTCGACACTAGATGGCTTTAAATACAACAATTAAATCTTGAACGAAATAAAAAACGACTTTGCTCTTTCAAATCTTGCTTAATATTTTTCCTAGAACACTTTATGTAATACCGATTTATTAAGATTTTTATTGACATTATTTTGTTCATTACATGAATTTCGTTAAAATGTATAATTTAGGAGATATTTGCAAAAAGACGAAGAAAAACGCCAAAAATATATGAATCTTTAGTGGCCAGTAACTTGAAAAGTATTAGTTTTTTTGATAAACTATAGAAGACATTTTTTTATTATAATTAGCTCTTCTATCGATTTCCGACGTTATTTTAAAAAAATGTAATTACACAATTGAGAAGGGGGGTCATCCCCCCGGGGGGTGATGGCGCAACCCGAATTGTTTTCACTTTTGAATTTGAGGGTAAGATGAACCTAATTCCAAAATTTCATTCAATTCGGAGCACAGTAAAAAAAATCAGACCTAAAACGCTCCGTTTACTGCACTATATGTTTATACTGTTGTTACGTAGTTATAGAATTTAACTCTTCTTCGTTAACTCAGGTTATTGGGTTATAATTTAACCCTTGTAGCTGTGGACTGTATTAAACACTGATTTGTTTGTATATTATGCATTTGTTGCAGTTCTAATTACAATCACTGATTTGTTACTAAGTTATAATGAAAGAAGATATATTTATTTTTACTGGTTATTTACATGTTGTTAAGTGGACTTTACTTTTAGAAGTGAACAACTAGTTCAATTGAAAACACTCCGCTACCCCCTCTACCAGTGGTAGCAACCATTCCGTGTAAAGCTTAATGCCCTGAAGTTTGTCACTTTCATGGCCAATATAATAAAACGAAAAGACGTCCGAACAATATTATATTACCAGTTTTTAGAGCAGCCTGATGGATTCCTGGAAAATTTTTGTCAAGTTGTTCGGAAAATGCTATCGATTATTTTTCTTCTTCGAATAGTTGTTTTTTGCTTGAAAAAAATTTAGTAGCAAGTTGAATATTGAAAAAAATAGTTGTGTCTTTACAGTAGATTGTATTTTTCTTTTTTATATTGATAACTATATGCAGTTTTTGCGATTAGTTTAAATAAATTATTATTTCCAAAAAAACATGCTGAATATATCAACAATTTTTCATATTTATTTTTGTAATTCAACCGTGAAATTCCTTCTTCAAAAGAGAAGTGACACATTCTCAAGAAAACATTTCACAAACTTATTTCAAAGAATATCACATGGATGATATCAACGGGAGCTTTCAAGAGGCAAAGCTTACATAAATGTTTGAAAAGTTACATTATCATATAACAGAAGATTGATATCATTATAGAGAAATCCTTTTGAATGTAGTTTTGGAATTTGGTGTCATTTACATGCGTGTTGTGAAGGAGTTTTAAATCTCTTTATAGATTTAATACCCAAAATATAAATAGGGAAGGTATAAAATGATGTAAATATACTTGTAAGCCAGAATAAAATTTTAGACATATTGAGCTTTCAGGCTTTGTGCAAAAGTTGAAGTTCTGAATTAATGATTAATTAGCGTTCATTCCTGTGATTTTTTTCTGGTGGTTTTGTGAATAATTTATTTTACATATTATTCAAATATCCAATTTATTTCGCAGTATCTTTTCCGAGGCTTAAATTATAGCAAAAGTTATTTCTTATAAACTATTTACTCTTCTTTTGTGACTCTCACAATGTTGTTGTCTATTGGGAATATCAAGAATAATTTATAATTTATTTTTTTAAACTTTACTATCGCATTTATTTTCATGCTGAATATATCGATAATAGATTGTAGTACATTAGAATATCCTAGATTTCTCTCGATTACAAATTGACAGCATTTTTTATGTTTCAAAGCCAAATCTTGCTGAAACTCACAATATGTCTAACGCAACACCGTTTGGTCATTAGTAGACGTGACTAAAATCTCAACCAGGATATTTATAATCTTGGTTTTAACACCTATGACTAATAGATTTTTTAATTCATTGATTTATATTTATGTAATAGAACATTTTTTAAATTTTAATTGAAAATTTTTAACCATAAAGTTGAAAATCACCAAGAAGCAAAGGAAATATTTTCAGGAAATTATAATTGAATTTTAAAGGAATTATAATTGCAGTTATGCTTTCAGAAGAAATTAAGTTCTTATAATTGTTAATATTTAATAAAATTGCATTGAAAATTGCGTTTTTGCAAAATTATCAATTATGGTATCCACTCCATTAATACTTTTGTTTAGCAATTAATGCCTTGATTATCAACTATGGAATACTTAAAAAAAATTACAAAGTTTATTCGGAAAGTGCTTTCTGATATATATTATTTTGATTTCCTCATGTAATAATATTTAATTAAAAAATTTGTGAAGCAAACGTAAGCACATTGGAAAAACACTCATTTTTAAAATAATCACATTTATTAATTTTTACTATCTTTGAAATGACGGATGGTTTTCACATATTAACTCTACATTCTGTTGATCACTGGATAAAATTCTTAACCTATTAAGATTTTTCTTAATTTTTCAAGAATCAATTCTCTTGTAGCAACCCAAAAATTTACCTGCATTATTATTAGTATCACTACGAAAGTTTCTATGATACTCTCGTGAATCTCATTCTAAATTTATTGCAGTTTCTCTAAATTCGGCTATTTTAAAATTCGTCGTACATTCTGCAAATGCATTACGTTTTCTTTTTTGTTCTTTTTATGGGCATTCGACTAATTCTATCATATAAATTATAGATATATCAGAAGAATTCAAAACCTTCTTTATATCTAAGGCGCAAATATATGCAAAATTAGTGTTTTTATTTTGTAGGTGCTTACATCATTTCGTAAGTTTATTAAATTCTAAAATACTGCAATTTATTATTACAAGCCAATGTAATACACATTAATTGAAAATTTAAGTATGTAAAATTTTGCTACTGGTAAATGTATTTTTGGGTTTTATTTTTTAGAATATATATTTAAATATGACACAAGCCAATAGTATACTTGAATTATCCCTTGAAGCAATTTAATTTATACATAAATAAACAACAAATCGAGAGAAAAATTTAAAAATTCACGAATGAGTAAACATCACACAGAAGAAATATTGTTAAATTTTCTTCATATGAGGAACTATTCATTACACTTGTTATTCATTGAATCTGATGGCAGTTTCTTCTTAAGATTTACTTTGTGAATTACATACCGAATACTGTTCTGCATCTTATTGCAATGATATGTTGTCGATTTTTCTTTAACCTCGTGATTTTGTCTCGATTTTCGTTGATATTCCACAAACGATCAGCTATCCGTTGCGACAGCGGACGCGCACCTAGTATAAAAGAGTCTGGAGGATAACAAATTGACATCAGTCCATCTTCGTTTGTCCACAGACATCTTCTTTACACACAATGGAATCTTTCAAAGTGAGTTGACAAAGATCATTTTACGGGTTTTGAGCATTTTAGTTTGATTTATATGATAAAAATAGCTTTACAAGTAGTTTTATAATATGGTGCTTTGTTACTATTATATTATTATACCACTTATTTTTTAGTTTGTCTTCATCGCATCTCTTGCGATCAGCGTGCATTGTGGTGTATTACCCGCAGCGGTTTCTGCGCCTGTTCTATTAAATGCGGCTCAATACACAGCCTTACCTCAAACCCAATTTTTCGGAGCTAGAATAGCTGCACCACTTATCGCCCAACCTGTTGCCGCTGCACCACTCGTGGCTTATGCTCCAAACGCTGCCAATCAACCACGAAAACAAACTGAACGTCAAACTGAAAAAACTGAACGATTCTCCAACAGCGCAGCTGCTGCAGCAGCTGAGGCCGGAGCTAGAAGTGTTCAAAATGACGTTGAAACTATCCAGCCCACTGTAACCAATGCGCAACCAGTTGGAGCACCAGCTGTGCAGTTTGCCGCAGTTCCTGGACCTATTGGTGTTCCTTTGTTTGCCAGATATGCATCATATGTTGCTGGCGTACCTACGGCGAGTTATGTAAATGCTGCTTACAGATCTTTAGCTCAACCCATCTTGCCAGTTTCACGTTTCGAAGCAGCTCCAGTAACTGTAGCTAAGCCAGTTTTAGCTGCTCGTTTCGTGGCTTCTGCACCAGTGGTAGCATCTGCCCCACTTGTAGCAGCAACCCCAGTCAAAGCCGCTCGTGTTTTGGCTCCTGCTCCTGTCGTCGCAGCTGCACCAGTTGCTGTAGCCCCTGTCAAAACCGCTCGTGTCGTGGCTACAGCGCCAGTTGTTGCATCTGCTCCCGTAGCAGTTGAATCTGATGACTACGTAGACCCACATCCACAATACTCTTACGCTTACCAGGTGCAGGATAGCTTAACTGGTGACTCGAAAACCCAAGAGGAGTCTCGTGATGGAGATGTTGTTAAAGGAAGCTATTCACTGGTAGAACCTGATGGTGCTATCCGTACTGTTAACTATTACGCAGATCCTATCAATGGTTTCAATGCTGTTGTAAGCAGAAACGAACCTAAAGCCGTGGTTCCTGTGGTAGAGCGTTTGCAGACTGAAGCTATAATTAAAGCATAATTAATTGAATAATTCATATCATGTCATCCAAATGTACCAAATGTAAATAAATAATCCATCATTAAAACTTGATTTTTTACTATTTCCCACATTTACTTTTAATATGTTCCACATTTAGCTTTGTATCAATTTCTCTTATATGTATAAAAAATATGAACCTATTTGATTTTAGATTAAGTTCGAATAATTTCAGGACCGTAAGCCACAAGTTACAATTTTCTACATTTACACTGGTTTTTGGCGAACTATTACCTAAACTTATATCTAAAATTGCAGAAATATATTTTACTGCATATCTACTACACTCACATATAATATATTGTCATGCTAACTTAGTAGTCTTTACCAGTTTTTTTGTTTGTTGAAGGATAGAAATAAATCTAGTTGAATATATGTATTGGTATGACATGATTGTAACTTATCATAATCATATTAATAGTATTTTCTATTATTTCAGCAAATCAGAAACTGTTTTATATCAGTTATCCCAACATGAAAATGCTTCCCGAATGCGTCTAAAACTGGAACCATCGTCTTTGCCGGTGGATAATCATGCTTCAGCAGCAAGTTTGAGAGACAACACCGGTATAACTGCTGTTAAACAACCAGAATTTTCTTTGCCAATCACACCAGCAGTTGTTAGAAGAAGAGATGGTGATGAAGATGAAGAAGGGCCTTTGCTTGAGGAGGAAGAGTTGGCTAGGTTGACGGCGGAGGCACAGTTAGTATAATAAATTATAATGTTTAAAAATTCTAAGAAAAGAACTATCAACTTTTTTTGATACACCAATGGATTTTTGATCTCTGATTATTAATAAAAATAATAAAATTTTGGACTATTGTCTAAATTTAATAATAGTAACTGGTAATTGACTTTTTTAAAAGAGTTGCAACTCGGTATTTATTCTATCACAATTAAAAACATTATAACAATCGTTTTTTGAATAAGCAAAAATTACATTTAAATATTGAAATAACTAATGGTTTTACTTCTATTTAATCCAATGTATATTTCTTCCTGAACTATGAAATATGTCGTACGTATCCTTTGTCAAATATTTTTTATCCGCCTAGTATTCCCTAGGAGATATTTTGAATGAAATGTAACATATAGACAACTAATCCCTAGTGTGATTTGACCATTAGTCATCCCATACATTTATAATACCTTTGATATAAGGTTCAATAACATATGGTTTTCACTGCCCTTTTTCGGTATATAACCGGAAAATTCTTTGATGATTTATATCTCGAAAATAAACTAACACGCATTTTCAAAGCTGTTGTAAACTGTGAATATAACTCATATACATTAATCTAAGAGGTCATATGAAATAAACGTAGATCTTGATATGAATTTTAATTAATATAATTTATTTAAAAGTATTTATCAAGAATAATTTTTTGACATCATGAATTTTATTATCCAGATTGGCGGCAGATCAATCAAAAGAAGAATCTTCAGGTGTAGGCAGCATTTCAGGCCCAGGAACACGTGAAGCAAAAGTTGTGATTTCACAAGAATGCGAATTAATTACCTTGATGAGCAGAATTCGTGGAAAATTTGATGTGACTACTACCCATTTAGTTTTCCACGACTTAAGTCCTCTTCGGGATGATAGACCCAGACAGGACCACAGGTGGCCTTTGGCTTCTTTAAGAGAAATACATTTGCGGAAGTATAATTTGCGTAGAAGTGCCTTGGAAATCTTTCTGCTGGATCAAACGAATTATTTCTTCAACTTTTCTACTAAGGTAATAATGAATAGTATAAAAATAGATCAAGCGAATCACTTTATCAATTTTTTATTAATGTAATAATGAATAGTATAAAAATAGTTTGTTTAACACTTTCACGGACGTGAACGCTATAGCATTCTTTTTCATGATACAGAAAAACATGAATGCTATAGCATTCAAATTTTAAAATCAATTATTTGAATTTAATTTTATAGAACTTCACGTTTGTGTAATTATTGTACCTGTCAAGGAATAACTGATTCTTTAGGTATTGTATTATTTTATCTTGTATTTTCATAGTCACTAATTAGCATGGGCGTAAAATGGAAGCGTAATACTTGACGTGAATGCTATAACATTCACTTATATAATATTAAAATTTGATTATCTGACTACCTTAAGCTCGTGAAGAATATATTTGTTTCACAGTATAAATTGCGCTGGTAACCGGTTGAAAAATATGGGTTCAATTTACAAAATTGAAAAAGATTGTTTTTACAGTTTACTTCATTATTAATAAAAGCAAATATTACATACAATTCAAACTAAAACCGATTTAATTTCAATGAAACATTATATATGTAAAGTGTAACTAAGTATATTATTTCTACTTTTGGGGAAGTTCATACAACTTGCCTTATGGTAAAATGCACTTACTACTATTTATTTTGTACAGTCATAGCCTCAAAATTTCAGAATATTTTATTACCTCTTTTTTGAGAAATTAAATTCACGACAAATATACTCATTAGTTCGCAAAATATATATTCATTAGTTCCGCCTTTTCTTCATGACTAGTTACTTAGTTAGGAAACATTTTTGTATTTTTGCAGGGTAAGTAATGGACCGAAAATTGAAAATGAAAGTGTTTGCATAAATTCACGTTTCAGAGATTTCTGAACATTTTGGCATACCCCAGAAAAATTGGATATGTGTGTGTGTATGTGTGGAGACAATTTTTAGTCGACGATTTCGGGAGTATGGATGAACCGACTTGAAAATTTCAAAAAGCAATCGATTCCTATTGAAAGAGCGATGTGGTGATTAGTTTTTGGCAAAGGCAGGTCTAAAAATGCCAGTTTTTAAGAGAAAGGTTCAACCGATTTGAATGATCCAAAAAACATTTGGTTCGTAATGATGGAGAGAAGTGGTGATTTGATTTTGCCAAAGCAGGTCTAGCCGTTTCGGAGATACCGAGCTAAATGTGCAAAAAATTGCAGTTTTTGAAGGAACTAAGCATCCGATTTGAATGATTTAAAAAACTTTTCGATTGTATTGACGAAACGATCGCTATGGGGAAATTTAAATTTTTTTTTTATGTTTCAAAAAAATTATTTTTATATCTTTTTGAATATCTAAAAATATTTTTGCCATTTAATTCTAATTTTAGCTAAAGTTCTAAACATTACTTATAATACTTCAAATAATCATAATAATCTATTTGAAAAGATATAATATTTTTCGAATATTTCATTAAGATACGGGATGTTCCAAAAATTTTCCTTAAGGCAAGATGCCATACACTACTAGTTTGTATTTGTCTTTGTGATACGATGCAAATTAATAAAAAATCTTAAACTTATCATTCACATTTACTGTATATAATATAATACCTATATATTGCAATTTATCTAAAAGTTTTTACACCTTTACGTTGTATAAAATATTCGATTTCGATAACGATTTTATGAATAAATAACACAAGTCCCATGTGTCACTTTCTTCCCTAGACTCGGAACAAGGTATTTTCCCGAATATTGAGCCTGCAACCCCCCAATATCCTTTATGGCAGCGGTCGATCGCCCTCTGAATTGCTGCGCGCTTCTGGTCTCACACAACGATGGCAGAGGCGAGAAATTTCCAATTTCGATTACCTAATGCACTTGAACACGATAGCTGGCAGAACATATAACGACTTATCTCAATACCCCGTTTTTCCATGGATACTTACGGATTACCACAGCGAGGAACTGGATTTGGAAAATCCTAACACTTTTAGGGATCTGTCGAAACCTATTGGTGTGGTTAATCCGAAAAACGAAGCAGAGGTAAGTTTTAGAGATACAAGAATCATATGATACTATACAATCTGTATTAAATTATGATTTACTGAACTTTGATACTATGTTGTAGTCACTTGTACATGGTAAATTATTGAAATCACTGTATTAAATGAAGACGATTTCTTATTTGTTTATTTAATTATGTTGCTGCATATTACTAATTATTAATGTTGACTAGAAATTTTACTGATAATTTATCTAATGTCGCGGACTATTATTTCGAAATTGAATGTAGAAGTAAAACAATAAAAATAAACTTTTATTTTATTTATTTATTATTAGGTTCGCGCCAAATATGATAGCTTTGAGGATCCAACCGGAACAATTAGCAAGTTCCATTATGGAACTCATTATTCAAATTCCGCAGGAGTTTTGCATTATCTAATTCGTGTAGAACCATTTACTTCCCTTCATATCGAACTTCAAAGTGGAAGATTTGATGTCGCCGATCGGCAATTTCATTCTATACCGCAAACGTGGAAACTTCTTATGGACAATCCGAACGATGTCAAAGAACTTACACCAGAATTTTATTACTTTCCTGAATTTTTGAGGAATGTTAATAATTTAGATCTGGGTAGATTACAAGTGACTAAGGAAAAAGTCGGGGATGTTGTTTTACCACCTTGGGCCAGAGATGCTGAGGATTTTATAACCCTTCACAGGTAGGATTGATACATTGCATAAATGAATATATTTTATACCGAAAATAAATTTAATATTTTAAATAGTAACAATTTTTTAGCACTTTTAAGATATTTCTTTTCTTTTTATCAGGCGTGCCCTTGAAAGCGAACACGTGTCAAATCATCTCCATGAATGGATAGACCTGATTTTCGGCTGCAAACAGAAAGGAGCTAAGGCTGCTAAAGCTTTAAATGTTTTTTATTACTGCAGTTACGAAGGCGCAGTCGATTTGGATGCTATTAAAAACCCCAAAGAACGAGAAGCCGTCGAGGGGATGATTAATAATTTTGGACAGACGCCAAGTCAACTCATGCGGGAATCTCACCCGAAGAGGATGTCAAAGGATGAGGCGGCAAAAAGGTGATAACTATTAGTTAATAAAAATCGTATATTTTGTTACAGTTTTGTGTCTATCTAGTGACGTTACTCTGTTTTTGATGTAATAGATTGATTAGAGGAGAACTGAGAAGGCCCGATATGACAACATTCTTGAATTTGGCAACTCTTTTTACTTGCTCAGACGCAGCAAGTGAAAAAGATCCCATGATATATTTGAGTTCACCACGATCGCCTCCGAGATCTTTTCTTCAAGCTGGACCAGATTGTGTAGTCAGTGTTTCAAAATTGGGGGTATTGGCCGCTCATAATTGGCAGTCAGCAGACAGGTAATAGAGGAAAATACATAAAACTATTATCATAATTTACAAAATTTTGGTTGTATCAAAGAAGTATGCCCTTGCGTAATTTAACAGGCACGATTTATTTTCTTGATAGGAGCAATCCGCGAGGTTTTATGTTTGAACCAGATGCGAGCATAAACCTACCTAAAGCCAGGAAACGTTTACCAGGACCATTCCATCCAGCCTACGTACCAGATTCTCGCACTTTCTGTGCTAGTCTGGACGGACGAGTCATATATTGTGGAGGCCTATGGGACGGTTCCATCCGAGCCTATTCTGTGGCACGTGGAAGATTATTACAAACATCTATCAGACACATGGATGTCGTCACATGTTTGGCAATAGATTCTAGGTAAAAATAACAATATAATTTATTTTATTACTCAATTATTTAATATCATGTTGTAACTTCATTGCAGAAGAGGAGGATTAATTTTATTAAGTGGTTCAAAAGATTGCACATGTGTCGTATGGGAGGTGACACCATGGGCTGGAGGTGCTTCTAGTAAGTTTGACATTTTAATCGGGTTAATAACATATCAATTTAAAATATCTATTTTTCAGATGGAACATTACTGACACCTGTCAGAGTGCTACGTGGTCATGATGCACCAGTGACCTGCGTTGCTTTACATGGAGAACTGGACGTTGCCATCAGCGGTTCAGAGGATGGAACCGTCAATGTGCATGCCTTGCGATCTGGACGATATGTCAGAACTCTCAGACCCAAAGGATGTGAGATTCCACGAAGTTCTGATTCACATAGAAGCTTTTTACCTCAGGTAAAACTTAAAATCTTTACTGTTTAATCTGAAATTCTCCTTGGAATTGATGTTGATCAACACTTGTACAATTTTTTTTGTAGGTTTTGGAAAGGTCGATAGTTATCGAGTATACGGAAATGTCAGCCCAGGGGCACGCTGTATTTTCTGCCCGGGACCGTTGCGGATGTTCTTTGCATGTGTTCACAGTGAATGGTACCTGGGTTGGTTCTAAACGAGTTTCCGGTCGTGTGACCGGGTTGGCAACCGCTGGCGATAATGTCGTTTGTGTTGACGACGCCGGAGACTTGACAATGAGCCGATTACAAGGGTGAGCGATTATTATGTATATATACAATTATGTTTGATGTTTTGTGAATGACTAGAATACAGACCGTGAAATATGAAAGATTTACTCTATCTATCCACCGAATTGCATGTCATTAATTTTTTTTTATAAAATCGTTTATTTCTAATTAACATAATTCAAGCATTTTTCAAATTTTAACCAGCTGAATTTTTAAAATTTATACAAAATATAAGAAATAATTGTGTATATTGGCCTCAAAACCAGACTAGGGAATCGGGCAATAATTCATTTTTATGTAGTTTCAATACTCGATATTCGATCAACAATAAACGCAATTTTTATTTGAAATATTTCTAATTATTATAAACACTTTTTGATGTTTGAAAATTGGATAATTTTTTTTTCTACAAAATGTATAGTTTTTTTTTCTTTTTTGTGGCTAATTATTTAGAAACTATTTCAGCAATAATCAACAAATTATTGGGTTCATTTTTTTAATCTGTGTTGAGTCTTTCTGTGCTTCTATGTAATTTTATTTGATTTATATATGATAAATGAACTATCTAAAGAGACCCCTTTGAATTGATTGAACAAACAATTGATTTTGGTCTGGCAAATAGAGGACTACCATTAGGTATATTCCTTTCGTACCGTGTTAGTTTTTTTCAAGAATCAACGCAATGTTTATATAGGATTATTGATATTATCCACTTCAATAATTTTGTCTTATAAGGAGAACTTCAGGTTTACTTCAAATTTCGTGCGTGATAGATTGTGCTTGTGTATTATATTTTTGATACCAAAAATAATATGCTCCATATATTTAATTGTTTGCATTATATTTTACATATACATATGACTCGCTTATTTCATTTTATTTATTGATAAAAAATCTTAAGAAAATTTAACCCTTTTGATTCGGATGCAGCCGCTCCGGCGGCATGGTCTTTTTACCGTTGCGCTCGGATGCCGCCACTCCGGCGGCATGATACGTTTTACCGTTCCACTCGGATGCCGCCGCTTCGGCGGCAAATCGTGTCGTCGCAAACTAAACTTACAACATGTGATTTTTTTCATACTTATGAAGTTAATTCACTATTAAGTTCATTTACCGATTAATTTATAATTATTTTCATAAATATGTATGAACAAATTAATTTAATTGCTCATAAACACCATTATTTTTTAGATATAATTGTTACCAAAAATTTCATGTTATATATTATTTACATATATATATATATATATATATATATATATATATATACAATGTAATGTATTATACACATGCATAATATACATACATATACAAACACACACGTATATATATACGTGTAATAGAAAAAATAATGGTATTATTGGGGTTGTTCTTAATACGGGCACGATAACCGCATCTACCTCCAAGAATATTGTTTTTTAATTATTTTTTTATTTAGTTTATATTCAGTATATATTTGATATAATTTTTATTAATTAATTTTTATAAACATCTGTGTAAAAACAATTTTTTTAAACAATTACATGGTTTGTATCATATTTTTTAATTTTATTTCGAATTTTTGTTTTATTATCATACTAACGATATTTAAAAGCAATATTACCACATTATAAAAAAATCCGATACAAAAAAAATCCGAGTTGAGAGATATGTATAGCACTATAATATACAGAGCGCAGCGCACCGTCGAGCAGTTGGACTCCCGAGTGGAAAGTGTTAAATCAAATATCTACAATATCCACGCCATAAATATAAATCGAATTTATATAGTAAGAAATTGCACTAATTATTGTATACTTGTACAAGGATGCAATCAATGTACGAGGTCTGTTCAAAAAGTACCCGGAATTTTCGTTTTTTCAAAAAAATATTTATTTATTCGTCTACATTAATGTGGTTCCCTTCAAAGTAGTCCCCCCCAGATATAATACACTTATGCCAGCGTTTTTTCCAATTTTCGAAGCACCCTTGATATTCACTTTTTGATATGTCCTTGAGCACTCTCAGCGATTTTCTTCAATCGAGGAAAACCGCCGTCCTTTCATGGGTCTCTTCAACTTTGGGAATAGGAAAAAGTCACACGGAGCCATATCTGGTGAATTTTTGCACTTTGCAACACTTTATTTCATTTTTTACGCAAAATTTAATACAAATTCTTTGACTTTTCAATTCTTCCATTGTAAAATCGCCGAGCTCAGAAAAACACGTCGAACCCTAGCGACTACCACACACAAGTAAACAGTGAATATAGCTGAAAATTTCATCATACTTTAGGGGCATGTATACCAACACAATAAAAAAAAAATTTTGACAATCAGACACTCCAGACCCGCGAAATTTAATTATTAGTAATTCCGGGTACTTTTTGAACACACCTCGTATATAAATGAAATAAAATAAGACAATAAGTTTTCATGAATCGACTATCGAATTTATCAACAAACAGGGTGTCATAAGAGTATCCTGTTGTCTTTTTTTAGTAAAAATACAATTATTCTTTAAAATTTTTATTTTCAGATTAAAACCAGTCTTCGACATTCCCCTCCACGTGCCAATTCAGAGTGTTTGTGTGGCTCCTGGTAACACACACATCTTGTGCCCTCTAAGAGATGGAAGGTTGGCGGTTCTTGGTCCACCAGTTCCACAATCAAAAGGAAACTCATCAAAATCTATTCATCAGGTATAGAGAAGTCTATGAGCTAGGTGAATCTAATCAAAACTCTACCGTAAGTTTCTATTACCATTGAAATATATATTATGTTTTTATTTGATTCAATTTAAAATGTCCAAATCCTTTTCATATCTTGTCATGTACAACATTGAAGTATTATTGAACATTGCAAAAAACTATTTTGTTCAAAAGAAGAGCTTGTGAATTAAGGGTAATTTCGCTCGCAAAACATTTTTAACACTCTATATATAATTTTTAATTTAAATTTATTTTAATATATTGAAACAATCAAATATAAAAATATCATAATATTAGGTCCAAGTAAGTGGTAGACGATATAGCCTTTAGAACTTTTTAAGCATATTTTTTGAAGGTAGGTGAGAAACTATATAATATTATACTATACGATATGTTGTTTTAACTCGAATATTAATTGGATTCATAATTTTTATATATTCTCCTAATTCGTTTTCTTGAATTATATTTTACAAAACAAAATAAAAAATAAAGTCATCAAAAAAATCTATTTATTTGAGGTTTTTGAACATTTTAATGTATTATCATATTCTATTTGTTATTAAAGCTTAGACAATATCTGTAGAGCTTTATAATATTCTCTTACTTGGCATTTTCAAAAGCTCCTGATTTTAAAATTCATACTGATACGAATTAGAAATACTTAAGAATAAGACTTTGATCCATAAAAAAATCCATCAACTCCTGACAAGAGCCTAAAATATAATTTATTATTATTGAAATTGTCTTGCTTATGACTAAATAAATAAATAAATAAATAGATCAATGTTAAGGATATTTTAAAGCTAATTTTCCATACTTAAACTACACTTAAAATTTACAAATAGAATATAACGATTCCAGCACCATTTTTTTCAACAAGCTTTCAGATTTAATATTTTCTCCATGTAAGTTTCAACATTTTCAACAACGACGACTTTACAACAAACTTTAGACGAAGTTTTTATAAAATATATTTTCTGTTATAATAATCCATTTGATGGCATTTAAATAAGAAATTTTTAGCCGCGTATATAGGAATTGGAATTTTGTGTAATCGAAAATAAGTTATCATAAATTATGACTATTGAACTTCTGAACTAAAATCCCTTTTCTCTACTAATTTTATTTATTTAAAAAATAATCAATTATTTTATATACCTAACATTTCGGCGATAGGAGATGTCTTCTTGTTCAGGAACCATTGCTATAATTATAAAATATAATTTAGCAAAATTTCTGTTTTGTTTTACAACACAGCATTTAAATAAACATGCTAATATTTAATAAAATACTAGATGTAGTCTATTGTAAAAATTGTAATAATGAACTCTGTATATTTACAGTATTAAAATCGATAAAAATAATCAATGTTGTAATAACGCTTGTATTTTAAATAAGGATGACTATATATATATATATATATATATACATATATAATATATATATATATTATATATATATATTTAGGTTGGTCCTTAATGTGGACATTTTCGAATTTCCTTGCTCCCAAGGGCTCAAATGGTTCCAAATTGATAAAAAACTTAAACTTATAAATCTTAATAATGTCTTTTAAATAGAGCGCAATTTAATCAAAGATTTGTATGGAAATAGAATGAAAAAAATTTCAAAATTTTTGAAAGCTTCGAATTTTCAATAAAAAATATTTCGTATTTATTTCGAATTTCGTATTTCCATACGAAGTTTGATTGAATTGAGCGCTATCTAAAGGTTAATATTAAGAGCTAAAACTTTCAGAGAATTGTTTTTTATCAATTTAGAACCCTTTGAGCCCTTGGGAGCAAGGAAATTCGAAAATGTCCATATTAAGGACCACCCTAATATGTATATATCCACATACAATTATACATGCAAGGTGCTAGACATTTTTTCTTCAATAATATTAAATTTTACAAACTTCTTGATATCTACGTATGTTTCAATAAGCCTTAGCAATTCTTTAAATTTGATATATTTTAAAAACATATATTTTTTATTTTATTTGTGATAATAATCAATAATTGGATATTCATTAATTTATCACAATTTACTACATAGTTAATATGATCTTCGTGTGAAATATAGAGATTAAAATTTTGTTAATAATTATAATAATAATTATAAAACATTTTATTCTTAAGAACTAAGTTATTATAGATCGATTTTAATCATATCCTACGCATATCAGCTTTTAATTTTTTAAATGCAAATTATATTTCATTTAATTATTACTTTTATGATGGCAAATGATTATCACGTGAAAAAATTGAAAAAATTTCTAAATATAATTAAATGTCGAAGAAAGACCGGTTGAAAAATGTAAGTAATAAATACTTAACTTATTTATTATAATTTGAAACACTTTTTGGATTTTTAAATCAATTTATGATTCCATCGTTCTGGCTCACAACTCCATTAAAATTTATTACATCAAAATAGAATTTTTTACATTGAAATAAAAACCGTTACAAAAAGTGTACTATGCACTGATAATAAGAAATTATATGTTTATAAAATATTATGATATCATCAAGTTTGTAAATTCAATAAACCTGAGTGACGTGTCGTTTTATAATTAATTTAACTTTCACTTACAAATATAATAATATAATAATTATGAATTTAAGAAATAAACTGAATTGTCAATCGCACTAATGAACTATACACTTTGTTCTCAACAGTTACAGCGGTTTCTATTCGTAAATGTTTTTTATATAAATTTAAATACCATTGATTGATGAAAAATTGTAAGTAATATTTTTTAAAAAAACATTGAAATAAAATGCGCGAGTTAATTTATTTTTTGATAATAAGGCACTTGTTACCGTTGACTAGTAATTGTAGATTGTTATGTGATAAAAATTTTAATTATATGTTCCATCAGATTTAAACTTTTATAAGTAATTGTATTTTACTTTGTTTTAACTTATATTATATTATATTTTATTTTTAAAATGATTTTGAAGTTTACAACTAGATAAAAATTGTATTATGTTAAGAATATTATGAGTAAGATAACTTTTGAAATGTTTTAGTAAAGTAATTTTAGTACAGGTATTATAAATAGGCTTTAGACGAATATTTATAGAATAATAGTGAATATTATTAAAATCGATAATGTTATGAAAGATATTTAAATTATAGATTATCGTATTAGGCAAGTGAATCATCTTTCATTTTATTCTTGTATTTAGTGATAAATTATATTATGATATAATAAAGATAAGTCAATAACAGCATTTTATATAGTTTTGTAAAAAGTGACACTTTTTGAAATTTAAATTTGTTATTACACTAGTAAATATATAATAATTTTATGTAATTTAGCATGAACCATTCCATGTAAATCATTTACCATTAACAATATGTACTTATATTAATAAACGAATTTAGCTAACTTAATTATGATGGCTTATATATTAATTTTATTTTTTAATTAAATTATTGAAATTTTAAATAATTTCAAGCAAATGCAATGTTAGAAATGAATTGTATTCTGTGGACAATGCTTTAGCAAATTGGAAATAATTCTGAATCTTAGAACCTTATGAAGCATAGAAAAGTTTAGAACAGGTAGTTATTTGAATAGTTCACAATTATTTCTTCTGGATCTTTTATTAATTTTGTTATTTGTTTGTGACTTAGTTTTAGAAATCCTCGTCGACTTTTCACCAGTCCAGATGATGTTGATAAATACTTAGACTTCCAGTTGGTCATTGTTATGGTAATTCTAATGCATATTAAGGAACAAAAAAATTCATTTGACTTAACTGCAGGTAAGCAAAACTTACACCAAGTATAAAATTTTATACATAATGTTAGCAATATTTTTTTTATCTTTTAGGCCGAGTTGTGGTGGTCATCACATATTTAGAGAGACATTTCAAGAAAATTCGAAACACATTTGTGATTTATGAAGCTCTATTTTAAAATCTATGTGAGGTAAGTACCTACTGATAAATTTTATAATAATATTTTTATTCTATACTATAATATGGTATAAAATCTTGGTGAAGGCAACATTTATTAGCAATATGATTCAGCAATTGAGCCGAATCAATTAAAAAAATGTTGATATTTTGAAGGTGCTAGAAATGATGGTAGTTTCTAAAATTATTCGAAATCTTTCAAAGATTCTGTACTATTCAGAACTAAATGTTGCACCGTGGTTGCTAATCATCATCTGATAGGAATCATATTAATGAATTTTGGTTCATATAAAGCAACTATATATTTATACTGATATGGCATAATTTACTGGTTTATTTTTTACAATTGCTGCATATACTGATATACTAAAATCTATTCATTAATAATTTTATAAGACAACCATTATATCATCTAATGGTTTTCGTTTCAGATCCGGCACAGTACAATTTTCATGAGGATGCCCCACTGGTGCCAAAACCAGAAGTTTTTCATTATCTGGTCGATTGAGAAGTCGACGCAGTTGTGGTCCACAGTTCAATGGAGTTGTGATCAAGGAGCACAAACCGGCACTCTGGTAATAATAAATAAGATGTTTAATTTTAAATGATAATAATCATAATGTAATGATTTGAATGATGACAAAAGACAAACAAACAGTTGTCCTATTTCTGTCTTGGATTTGCATTATTACATATTCTATATTAGTGATGGATTTTTATTGAAGCAACAATGCAGGATAATGGCTATTTTTGTTCTCTTGGAAGCTTATTTATATCTATATTCCCAAGTCAAAACCAATGCCACTACTGCTTGATACCAGGTTGCTCGAAGAGCGTATCGACTGTGATTGCCATATTGCTTTTCTTATATACCATTTAATGGGAGCACTGCCCATTAGAGTTATAGTGAGCAATATTCAGTTACAATTTCTATTTTTTTTTTATTTTTCAATTATCATTTACCTGAATTGCAGCCAGCATAACCCTGCAGCAATAGCAGCACTGGTTTCATGGTAATAATGTTCTTTACGTGCCCCATCTTGCCTTCTACTGTGCGTTTTTCGGAATAATAAAATCAACCAAGGTGCAACTGTCAGGTATTCCTTCTCCCAATTCGTTCGTAATGGTGATAGGTCAGCACACCATTGTCTGGACATCCTTTGCATATAATTTAATTCCTCTTCTCGTTCGATTATTTCTCGAATATCTTCCTTGATCTTCGAGGAGTTGATGGCTACGAATGTCCACGGTTCG